CTTACACACACACACACACACACACACATATATAGACATCACGCTTATAACTAATCCGACAAAAAGCATAATAGTTAAATGAATACACACAAACACACACACACATATTTAGTAAAACTGGCTAGGCTATAAAGAGAAATGACTCTAATTTGCTGCAATCGAAGTTGAGGTAAACTATATATGAACGCTCTATATATTTGCAAGAACTCGGTTCGTGCATGATTCTTGAACTTTAGAAGTTACTAAGAGTTTGATTGAGTCCAAATATAAAGAGATAGATATATATGGGTTTAATTCAAAATTATACAACTGTTGGTACTATATATATGAATAGACACACACTAGAGAGAGCTCGTTCTGTAGCTATTTTACTTAGGTCCTTTACAGGAGATAAAAATGAGGTTAATTTTAATTCAAGGCTCTCACATTTTTACTTTCTACAATATTCCTTCTCTATTAGCAAAACGTATTAATGGACATAATATTTCCTTCAATGTGTGTGTATATTTATCTTTATTTTTGGGTTTGGTTTAAAATCTAATTTTATAAAATAAAAAATGATAGAAGTATAGTTCTAATTAATTCTAACTTAATTATTTATCATTTTTTTTTTGACAGTCTTGTATATAGTTGTGGGAGTAGTAAGTATATAAATTAAATAATAATGTTTAATCTTTATATATATATATATATATAAGTCAATTTTTTAAAAAAAAAATCGAATAAAAATGGAAGTTTAACGAATTGTATAATTAATTATGAGTAACTATAATTATGAAACAAATAATTAGCATGTAGGATGTGAATATATAAATATATATATATATATATATGAATGAGAATTGAGAAAGAAAAGAAAAGAGAAAATTCCAACAGCAAGACGCCAAAATGCCACTAAAAACCATGCAAAAATATTATTTTCCTAAATTGAAGCAGACCAGGGTCAAGTAATGTTCTAGAATTTTGCAAGAAAAGAATAACGTTAAACTTCATTCATCACTTCACATATAAAACTATATGGGTCAAAAAGACGACACCTTTTTCAACGTCTTGTTTGGCTCTTTAATTTTTATCTTTTCTCCCTCAAAATCTGAATCAATAATAAAAATAAAAATAAAAAGAAATATGTGACATCTACTCATCAACTGTTGCACCTATATATATACATACATACATATATATATGTCTATACAAATTAATATTCAAATAAATTATTGGTTTAATTCATGCATTATTCTTATATTTTAATTTTTCTTTTAGTTGTGTACTGGAAGTTGATTTTTTTTTTTTAATTATGAAATTATTTCAAAACATAATGTAAATTTATTTTCCAAAATTGTAGAAAAATTTATGAGGATTAAAGGGTATGTATGTAAGTTAAGAAGTAATGCATTAAATTTCTTTAAGAAAAAGAGTAAAATGATTACAAAAAAAAAAAAAAAATGGGTCAGTTTTTTAATCCTTTTTACTCACACAAATTAAAAACATTTAATCATTACGGAATATTTATTTTACTCAACAATATAATAAATTCGTTAATGTTTAACTCAATTTAATTATTATAATCTCATAAATATACTGATAAATAAAGTTTATGATTTTATTAAATCAAATATTTTAAATTAGTTATTAGCGACAGTATAATGCACTTACAAAGTAATCAACTTTTTATTTTTAGTGAGATTTAAATTTATGATTTTTAAATATATTTAAATTCAATTTGATTATTACAATTATATCAATATATGTTAGTAGATAAAATTATTAATTTTAATAAATAAATAAATTAAATATTATAAATTAATTATATACTTAAGAAGTAGTAAATTTTATATTTGTTAGTGAGAATTAAATTCATATCTTTTTAAATAAAATATAAAAAAAAAATTATCTACTAAACCACCAAGTGTTATTAGTGAATAAACTGATAATTAAATGAAATAGGAAAAGTTAGGTTTAAGAAGAAAAAAAGAAAAGGAATCAAAGAGGGGGTATGCTTTTTGCAAGAACCAAGGCGAAAGCTGTTATTGCCAAGAAGGAAAAAAGCAAAGAAAATTCTCGAAAATGAAACCCAGAAAGCTAAAAAAAAAAAAGCAGTCATGTTGATGAAAGTCAGTTGGAGCGAATAGAGTAAATGCAGAAAGAGAAAGATTAAAAACCAGTCAATTAATAGTTGTCGGTACGTACTGATGCATTGCAGACTGAACCCTGCCTGGAGAAGGTATACCAATGAACAACAAACAAGAAGAAGAAGAAGAAGAAGAATACATTATCCACCGTGGGCTCGGAATTCCATGCTTCTCTCTCTCGCTCTCTATATATATATATATATATATATATCTCTCTGTATGTGTGTCAATTTTTATTTCATAATCGACTTTTGCTTTTATGCCCTATTATAGATATGTATCATGATATTTTGATTTCAATTTTTTTTTTTTACAATTACATTTAATTAGAAAAGTGTTTTTTTTTTGAGAAAATAATAATAATAATGTAGATAATAATTTAGTTTTGTTTGTTATAGAGCTAAATAATTCTGAAATAACTAGTACTTTCTAATTTCGATTTTGTTTTGAAAAATTACATGTAAATTCAAGTAATAAGAGGTAAATATAATTTTTGTATAATTTTGATGCTAATGAACTATGAAGGAATTACTTGTATCACTAGTTTTAGCATTACCCATTTTCCTTTACTCTTTTAAGCTTTGTTATCTTCCGATCATTTTCATCATATTTATTGGCAAAGACACTCCATACATCTTTCTTTTAACCACCTATACACTCCTTTTGCAAATTGATCGACCCACATAATGCTATCTATCATTAGTCATTGAATACACATCAATTATCTATATGCATATATAAATAAGAGGGAGAGAGAGAAACATTCAACTAAACCTCTTCGTGTTGAATTTACAGTGAGTTGGGTTTAACAAATTATTACGAAAATTTCAAAGAAAATGATTTTGCATTAAAAAAGTGTTTATTGTCAATTACAAAGCACAGGTTTATTATTTTCTTTCTTTACACAATTAAGGTTCTAGGAAAGTCAAGATCTTATGATTTTTCCTCGTCGGTCGATCGAATGTTATTTACCAGAGGAAATTTTATGCAAACTTATATAGCTACAACTTGACAGCCGTGGAGATATTGACGACTCTTCACACTTATTTCTATTCCTATTTGTAATGTGAATCCAATATATACATATTAAGGAATTTAAGGTATGATTTTGAACATCACCGACTAGCATGCTAAGACGACTAATCAAAATATCACTCTATTGAATCATTACTTTCTTCAGTCTGTACATAAGAGATTCTATAGATTTTTGTATCCTGTTACCTTCTGTCTGCCTCGCTGCTTGAGATGCTTGGCATAGACCCTGAATTCCGCGACCCAAGCTGGCAATCGAGGGAGCTGCAGGAAGTGATTCAGCAGCACATTCAATCCGATCTCCGTACAAAACCAACCCTGCACATACTGTAATGCTGGACCCAAATGTCGCCCATGGGAGGGAACCAATTGGTCGTACTCTCCTTTTCCTCATAATTTCGTAGAATGCAGTTCTCATGGCCGAGAAACTGGTTTTCTCAGCAGAAGCTATTACACTGTGGGTCACTGCTCGGATTTTCTCAGCTGATGCAACTGCCTTAAAATACTGGTTGTATTGGCTCCAGAACTTGCAAGTCCTGGGGCAACAA